CTGAGGCTAACGCTTTATGATTGTTTTTCCTCTGCTTCACTTAGTGCCAGCTATACCAAGTTGTGTTTGTATGTAGCTTAATGTTGTTTTCCCAAAAAGGTAGTGAGACCTAGAACATGAGACTGGCCCAGTATGGCATCTGGAGAGGTAATGAGAATGGTGGTTTGTGGTTTTCTCACAGCTTCTCCACTACTATCATTTCTTACTTTGCTAACTGTATTTTTTGCAAAAAGAAGAATAAATCAATTCAGTTAATGTAGTTCAGTTAATGTAGAGAAGGGCAAAATGTTGCTAAAAAATGTTCCTGGGGATTGGTCCTCATAGCTTCAACTCTGGGAGAGTGTCTGACTTTACAGTGTCACTTCAGTAAGTAATAGCAAAGACATCCAGGGCTTGAGACTTTCAAAACACTTGCTGAGATGGCTTGTAGAGTGCTTTAATGGCTGTTAAACTAATAGCTTAATTAGTAATGATTTTTTCATATGACCAAATCATTGAAGGAAATTTACACTAATTTGCTTTTTTTTTTGAAAAATGAAATACTAAAAACAAATTTATCAAATGGCCTGATATCTCCTGCACTGATTTCCAAACCTCTCGCCCTTCTCAGATTGAACCAAATTAGAGATATAAATAAAATGATTATAAATTTGATATTATTCATTTTCTAGCTAATTGACTTCTCTTACTCAATTTTCTAAGTGTAAAGTAAATTAGAGTAGTGCTGATTTTGAGAAAGTGTACATACTGTTGTTAAAGGGCAGGCAGGCAGAACTGGGTGGGTGCTCTCATACCCCAAGGATAGTTAGGGTAAGTCTCTGTGTTTTTCAGCTGCATTTAGTTCTTAGTTATTCCAGAGAATCAAATGTAGGGGGTGTGATGACCTCTGTTGAACAGCAGTCAATAGACTAGAGCTCAGATTTTACAGTAGACGCCCCTGTGCACACCTGTTGCACTGAATGTACAATACTGTAATGATTGATTTTCCTTCTGAAACTATCATACAGGTGATGCTCCTATTCAACTTCATAACCAAAACCTGATACATAGTAGGTATTTTAAAAATTGGTTTTGATGTGAATAAAATTATATAGAAAAAAGAGAAGTACACCAATGTACTTTAAAGTCTTTTTTTTTTTTTTAACTTTTTACAAAGGATTTGCTGTAAGTCTTCAAGTTATCTTGTCCAATCCAAAAGCTGTATTTAAACGTCGTGGATCCCAGCCAGGGATGCAGGAATCTGACTTTCTAAAACAGATAACAACAGTCGAAGAACTGGAACCGAAAGCAAATAACTGCACCAAGGTATTCATTTCACTTGTTATGTTTGACCATCAGTGTCAGCGTTAAGAGTGTGGCTACCCAAAATATTTCCCTCTCCTTTAGGTTCTTGTGTGGCACACTCGGACAGAGAAGGTTAACCTAGCCAATGAACCAAAGTACCACCTGGACACAGTGAAAATTGAGGTATAAATTGAAGCAGTAACTGGTGTAGTTTGCCCCGCCAGTGGATGTGGAAGAGGATATTTGGAGTTTAGGCTGGAGAGCATTCAGGTATTGTTCATTTTACTTCAGTACAACAGCCTTTATTGTCATCTGATGGATATCCATTTAAACAGAGCTTGTCAGTTAACACAAGCTAACTGGATGGTACAAAATGTTTGTTTTTTCTTCATTTGTTCTGCATGTTTTCCCTACAACTAAATTGGAAGATTTTTGTACAGTACATTGAAATGACACTGCAAGATACCACTCTGGGTATCTTATATGCTTTTTTTTTTTTTTTCTCATTTGGCCTTATAATTGGTAGAACTGAATGGGTTTTAGAAACAAATGACAGGTATTTTGCAGGTAAATGTTTCCAATTCCTGACTTTGCAACATAAAGTAGTTTTTGAAAGGCTGGTGGCAGTATACATCATATGAAATAAAAAATCCACAAATAAAAAGGTCTATGGATTCATCTGTTTAATATAGGGAAATAACATTTTGTCAATACTAGGCACCATAAAATGTAAACACAATTACTGTCATAAACCTGGATATACCTTCAAAGATTGAAAGTGGCTTTGTTTTAGTTACCCTGTTTGTATATAGTGCAGAAAAAGGTCTTCATATTAGCACTATGTACATAAGAAGAGATCCAAATTACAAGAGAGGCAGATAAAATTTGAATTCTTCAAACATTCAAAATTTTGTAGTAACATCCAGGTTTATTTTCCTTTCACTAACCACATTCCCTGTTAAGCACATCATAACAATAGCACAGTGAAGTGAATGATGAAATAAAAGAATTTTGATACACTAGAAAACGGTGCTCAGTGATACATTTACATTCTATTTATATGATTAAACATTTGATCATACAGTACCTTTCTACAGGATTACTGCCTAATTTTGGGGTGGGGTTTATACTGTTAGAGGTATTACTAACATGATATCTACTTCCCTTATATGCAAATATTAGAGCTATAATTTTGAGAGTAAAACTGATTATGCAAGTTGACTGAGCAGTTTCTCAAATAATGTGGTTTATGAAATCATGGGAAATATGAGCAAAGGCTGCCCTTGACATAACATTAGAGCTATAATTTTGAGAGTAAAACTGATTATGCAAGTTGACTGAGCAGCTTCTCAAATAATGTGGTTTATGAAATCATGGGAAATATGAGCAAAGGCTGCCCTTGACATAAAATGGTTTCTCAGCCTGCTTTCACCACATCAAATTTAACCAGTACAGACCAACACGGTCAATCAGATAATTCTTAATATGAACAAATGGGAAAAAAGAAAAAAATATATGTACATGAATAAACAGGGGAACTAGATGCATTTTAGCAAGGAATGTCAGGTGGTAGTTCTGGATGAAACTTGTATTGCAGTTCTCATTTCCACAGTTGTGTGCTGAGAGTCTGACCCGATGAGCTTCCAGACCATCCTGCTGTTGTGCTGGAGGGCTGGCCAAAACCCACTGTAGGGTTTGCAGTATTGATACTCATGCCAGCCATTTGCTGATTCATCTGTGAAACACATAAAAAGGCTTAATTTAAGAGGCTTACTTCACTTTTAATTCTTGTTTCTTTAGCCACAATTAGACATTTTTTCATTAATGTGAAAATTAGTCAAAGCACTGAAGTAAAGCAGACTACCATACAAATATTTCTTCATAGAAAGCAAATAGTACTTTGTTCCCTTTTTGTTCTTTATTTTCTTCTACTTTTTAGCTCTGTCCATAAGGTGGTATCAATTATATTTATTCACTTTCTAGATTCAATTTCTTGTCCCCAAAGATTAACCACAACTGGAAAAAAAAATAAATACCAAAGCAATCTTTGAATTTGTAGCTGGTATATGAGCAGATTATAAAATGAGTCCATACTCTAACTTTCAATTATACTAGGATACTTTGCTTTAACTACTAAGAAAATTTTAGAAAGTAAAATACTCTAAAATTATACTATAAACTTTGTATGATGGCTATTATTCTCTACTAAAATCTTAAATGGCTTTGTATGCTTTCTAAATATTAAAAATTGTCATAAAACATACTTTTTTTTGCTGATCTAACAACATAAACATCTAAAATTAATTTCCATTATATGCTATAAGGTGTAAGATTACATGTATTTGTCTTCCAGACTGGCATCAAGTATATCTTAAGCACCTTAACCCTGTGGTTCTCTTACTTTCAAGATTGGTGATAAGAGAAGGCAAGGCAAGATTTACCATAAAAAACAGTAGGTTCAAAACCTATGTTCAGTGTTAGAGACTCTGTTCTTAATAAAATTCATTTATTTGCAATTTTTCAATGACACTAACATTAACTGCATCATTGATCATGCATCAGTATCTCAATGAAGGGGCAGATCACATCTTCATACCTACCAAAGGATATTTGAGCCACCTGTATGTCGGCCAATAGATTCCACTGACAGAGTGATGGAGAACAGCATCACCCTTCAGCATGTCTGGAAGTCAGAGCCAGTGTTAACTCCTTAACTGGTTCATCTAGCACCTTAACCTGAGCTGGGTATACTTCAGCATTTTGGCCACCTAAAGGCTGTGATTTACATTTGGCTCTTACAATTTTTGAGATTCCCAGAGTGTAGACACCAATGTCTTACATATATTCCTGTAAATGGTGACAGCAAAAATATCTTGGAGCATTCATGGGCTATACAGTGATTTTGCTGATGTTAGTTAGAATTCTCTCAAGATAAAACAACTGTCCAAACAGAAACCAAGATGACCAAAATGCTGGAGGAACATCAGGTAGGAAGTATAAAAGGAAGAGGAGTGGGAGCATGAATGTCAGTCTAAGAGCCTTTGTTTGTGAAGCTAGATGTAAGTCCAAAACAGAAACGTCATCTCTTGGTTCTAAAGTAACGTAGGTAGAAGTAGGATTTTATAATATGAAGGAGTCTCTGAGACAAATATGGACTTGTTCACACTTTATGGGAATTCTTGAGCCAGTGAGTACTTTTTAAGCAAAAAAGTCATTATAGGAGATGTAAAAAGGAATACAAAGGTTTTTTTCTTTAACGAAATGTTCTTGAACAACAACAACTATATATATATATATATATATATATATATATATATATATATGTTTTTTTTTTTTTTTTTGAGTGAACTAATTTTTTTCCATCTGTTGTTATTATTTAGAATTACTGTGAAGTAGGGATTTATAATGGAGAATAAAAACACTTCGGTTTAGGAGGTTTTACAGCTTTTTGGTCAATTGAGATGCTATACAATACTAACTATGAATGTTCTTATATTCATTAACCAGTATATGTTTTTTTTTTGTTTTGTTTTGTTTTTTTTAAACAAACCCATGGGCAGTAACTACATAACATGGAAGACAGCCTAGATCCATCACAAAATAGTGTTTTGAGAATATGAGGATGGGCTGTTTTTTTTTTCTGATTTATGAAAGTTATAAAACAAACCTTTACAGAATACTCTAAAAATAGAGACAGTGACAAATCATTTGTCTATCTGATACAACTTCATACATAATATCTATAGACACTTTTGACCTTATACAACACTGTCCCTATTCAATTATTTCTGCCAGATCCAAAGATTCAAAAACAAGTAAAACCAGTTAGAAAATAAATCTGAGTTCTTTGATTTGGGAGAAGGTGGAGAGTAAATGATTCCTACCTGTGTGAGGCTCCACTGGGGCTGTTGAGCTTGCGTCAGGCCAAACTTACTCTGGGATGCTCCCATCTGTCCCACCATTCCTCCTTGTGGGCCAACATTTTGAGGCAATGGCATCACACCAGTTTGTGCATTTCCCATAAACCCATTGGGCATGGGCATGCCCACCATCATGCTTGCACTCTGTCCCATCACATTTCCTATAAGGCCAGGAGCTGCAGGCACAGGCACACCCATTGATGGAAAACCTTGAAATGCAGTTGGTGCTTGTGAGGTAAATGGTATATTTGTGGGTCCCATAAACACACCTGCATCATAAGAACCATGAAAAGAAAATGAATAAAGAAAACAAGGCTATTGCATATAGCTGCACTCACCTTTACAGTCACAGAAAAAGGATTTACCGTCTTTCTGATCTACCAGTAGCAAAAAATTTTATTCCATTCTGGCTGCTCCTACTGCTCAGACCAATCCATGCCTAAACCTTCAGAACTAGTTATTTCCAGAATGCAGACAAATCAGTTATTAACCTGAACAAATTTAATTAGGAATATAAATCTTATGCAACAGCCACATAAAATATTTTCCATTGTGAAGACCAAACTACATAGCATGAAATTATATGCTGTTTCTGCTGACTTGCACCACTGGTCTCCCAGTACAAAACAGGCAAGTGAAGGTTGATTCTATCTGACTTTAATGTAAGTAGTTGGGTTGTCATACAATTTCAGCTTCTACGGGAAATGCAGATTATTTTAGAGGAAATGAATGGTCTGGCAGATTAAGACTGTGTAAACAGTATATCTTATGCAAGTACTTCATTATAATTATAAAAGAGAATTTCAAAGCTTTTTTGGTATCCATGTTATCATTCAGACTGCTTATTGTTTACCCGCAGAGAAAATATACTGTACACTAAGTCATAAACTTCATGCAAATGAAATTTTGATAATTCTTCAAAGATAATCCATGTCCCATAAACTTGTGAAATAAAGTGATATGTGAACAGCTTGTTAAATCTAATGAATAAAGTTTTGTGAATCCTGTACATGTTTTTTAATTCTAATGCTTCATTCATTTCCGTTTCATAGTTGTGTAAACTGCAACCATAAAAGCACCCATTACATAACAAAAACCGGAAGAAATGTAATTGCTATTATTATAATTACAAAGGAGTACTTCTAGTAATGTCACTGCAATTCATTGTAAGAAGATTTTGTAATTAATCACCAGGAGTACTTTGCTGTTGAATGTTTCCTGTACCATACAGAGATAAGATGGAGTCTTTGGAGAGCTGTTTCTTCACCACTTCTTCTGATTTGGTAGCTTGCTCAGTGAATAGATCCAGATCCCCAGATGTTACTGTAGACAGGGTGGCAGCTGCTGGTACAGAGGACGTCCCCTGAGACACACACCAAAATAAGCTGTTGAATTCCTCATAGTAAAGCATAGCTCATCAATTATTTAAAATCCAAATAAAAATATACAATTAGACAGAAATTAAACAATTGTAGAGGGTAAAATGGTGGCATTCAAGAGGATAGCGCACAAGCCCACATGAAAAGCATCTAGAGTAAACATACAGTATTTCCTAATTTGACTCTGTTAATGTAAAAGAGGTAAGTTGAAGCTCTTTCATAATAAATTGCATGTGTACTAGTTAGGCTGACAGTGAGTTTTTGCTCATCACATCCTGAACACAATGAATTCAACAGTTATGTGGCTGCTGTCTGAGGACCACCAGTTCTTGGAGATGCTCAGACATCTCCGTCAGCAACTACTGCTTCAAGGAACTGGTATCCTCTGGATTAAAGAACATTTCTATAACTATAGCAGACTATAAGAGGGTCCTGCAATGGTTGATTGAAAGGTTTTATCTTCGCAAAGCTGCACTGTATGATTTTTATACACCTAATCTAGATCACTTTTAAGCCACAACATTAGAATGCCTCTGATCTATCCAGAAATTAAGTACACCAGAACTTCAACCACCTAGACTGTCAACCGTACTCTGCACTCTTTGGGACAAGGGAGCAGATGAACAAATACAAATAAGTATGTAGATATTTAAATTTTTCACTTAATCTCCTGTATCTTGTACACAGATAGTATCGTATGATCACAACTGATAACCTTGCTTAATGATTAAATACTCAATCACATTCACCTTTGTTTATATGGACTTGTTTTAAATAAGAAAAGAGTTTCAAGGAATTCTATGAAGACTAGTGACAGCTGGCTAAGATTCTTCTCTATAGAAGAATAAAGTGAGTAGCAAGTAGAAGTTAAATTCAAACACATAATATCCTGTCTAGAATACCATTCAATAAATTACCATCCAAACGCTCTACTAACAATTTAAGCAGAACAATATTTTGAATCTCTTATGACTAATTAAGCAAGAATTATGAGAAACAAAGAAAAAGCCACCTAATTTTGCAAAAACTCTGAAATGTATAAAAAATTAGACATGATGGAATACCAAATACAACATTGCCTTTGATTATGTATAAGCCACCAATGAAGAAGCAGAAGATCCCTCAGGCTAAGCATGGGCTGGAGCCAGCCTGCTGACAATAGAACCCTGGCCCCACAACTTCTAGACTTATTACTATGTGCCCTTAGCCATGTTACTTAATTTCTCCATTCAGGTCTCTCTCTTGTCAAATAGAGATAAAAAGCTTGATGACTACAAGAAGTGCTTTGCACAATGGCAGGGTTAAGTACTCAGTATTTACTGTTAATATTGTTAGATAACAAAGCAACTACATCACTAAGTGATCTTTTCATCACAATTAGTTTCTTTTCAATCTAGGAACTTCTCATAACACTGCAGTCTAACCATAAGAAAACCCAAAATGGCTGCGAAAGCTATGACTCCAGTCTCATACTAGAGCAGCCTAATATTCATTCACATACTTTATTCTGAAAAAGGTAGATAAGATGGAACATCTATCTCAACAGAGAAACAGTCAAAAAAGGGCCAAACAGCACAGCACAGCTAGTAAGCACGCAAATGTCCACTTACTTTTTTGGCACTCCATATCCAGCACTGCAACCTCAGGATAAAAGGACTAGAGCTTTTGCCTGTCACTTTAAACTTCAGGAGGCTGCAGGGCCTCTAACCAAAGGCTCTCTGGCCTCTGGGATCCCAGGGCTGAACCAAAGACAGGTCTCAGCACTTATGCAGATCTAGATACTGTTGATATATGTATGTGATACAGCAGGAAAGGGACCTCTACATGTCACCACTGGAAACTATGGAACTGTCCTCCCCAACACCCAATACACATGTATACTCCTGTTAGCTAAGTATTTCTAACCCCCTTTAGGGAAGACTAGGCCCCAGACAAGTAAATCAGATGGTAAAATTAATCTATTTCATATTCACAAATGGGAAAATCTTTCACTACTATTTATATATGCTAGGAGAATAACACCAGGAGTTATAGAAGGTTCAGAGTAATTCATAATCTTGGTGCCAAAACTAGTTTGAGCCCAATTTCACACACTAAAAATCTACCAAATTAGTAAATTACATAGTACCAGTGTATGTATAAAATCTGTACTTTCAGTCCCCCCCTCCCCAATTTTCAAAGGCATTATTTTGAAAATATATCTGGATTTTAATCTTTACATGTAGTTTGGATGAAAGATAATTCTACTTACCAAATATTTTACAGGGGTCAGTACAACTGGCACAATTTTTGGTACAAAAACAATGTTCGAAAAAAAGAGGTATGACTTAAAAAATTAACCCTGTAATTCTACAAGGTACTGATCAGAATGCCCAAAACATGAAGGCCAGCCCTACTCCTCCAGGACTTACACCCCATACTCCTTGTCATCATGCTACTCAAAATTAAGAGTTAAATGAAGTCTGCATTGTTCTACTTGCTGCTTTGATACTGAACAGAATATGTGAAATACACTGAAGCCTCAGAGGGGAGGTCTAATTCTCCAAGCAGTTGCAAAGCAACTCTCATACCCCAGTAGAATCTAAAGAAATCTAGCAGATGTATCAACCTTGGCCTCATTAGAATGCTAGACTGAAATAAATTGCTTTTCTTGCTCTCATTCTCGAATATCCTAAATACTTCTTGCCAAAACCACAGTATTAGACAATTTTTTATTGTCACATGCACACTCATGCCTGCACAAGTTCATGAGGTAATTAATATTAATTAATTGAAACAACAGCAACAATACTTAGTCCCTCTTTTTATGTGTGTTGCGAGAGAGAGAAAAGCCATAAAATATTTTATCTTGGCTGAAAATTTTGATAAGGATTCATTTAAACTAATTATACCTAACCTACTTGTTCAGTTCTAGTAGTAAGTAGACAATAACTATCATATCATAAATAAATGTGTAATAAAAATGTTATTAGTCTTCTTAATAAGACATTGACCTTTTCTTATTAAAACTTTCCATTCAAACAATTCAGATTTGGCTCAGTTTTTGTAGAAAAGGAAATATTTTATCTCAAACATTATGCTGTACTGAAAAAAACTGGTTGATTATTTGTAAAATATAAATTTAAAATAGAATCTTAATGTTGTATGCTGAAAGGTCATATATTTCACCTTATAGAAATTCCATGTAATGTTAAGAAGGCATTTCAAATTTATTTACCATTAATACTTTTTTTAAAAAATCCTGATATCTAATATTACTGTTCTAAATAGTTTTTTTTTAATCACTAAAAATAAAAATAGCAAGGTAGGTTTTAAAGCTAACTTAAAGCAGAATTTGTCTTCATAAAAAAGATTATGAGTACTTAATTTCCTAGAACTTCTTCTCCCAGTCAATATTCATAAACCCCCACATTTTAAAACCTCAGAAATAAGTGACCTTGTTGCTCTCAGGTGAGGTTGAGGTGTTCGAATTTTCCACTTGCTCATTCTAAATGTTGTTGTTTCCCTAAAGCAAGGGTCAGAACTTTAAAGACAGGGCAACCTTTCAAGCTCTGTGGGTCATATAGTCTCTGTTGTAACTATTCAACTCTGCTTCTGTAGCACCAAAGCAGCCACAGACAATATGTGAACTAAGAGAGTGGCTGTGTACCAATAAAATTTTATTTGCAAAAACAAGCTGCAGACTTAGTTTGCTAAGCCCTGGCCTAAGGAACAGAGGCTTTCAAATCAGTTACTATTTAGAAACAGTTCTTTCAAAATTGAAATTTTTAAACTTTTTAAAAAGGAAATAAGCAGTGACCATATCAAACAATAGTCTTACCACATACCTGAGCTGGAGGCATGACAGTTGCAGGTAAGGGATTAGAAATCATTGGTCCAAAGATGTCCAAATCATCATTCAGGGTTGGCACCGTGGTTGTGTTCCCATTGGTCACCAGTGTCTCAGCAGGGCCATCTGAAAAGAATACAGATTCTTGTCCTAAAAGAGAATCTCTTAAATTACTTGAAACAGGGCATTATTTTAAAAATTAATATACAGTTTAAAAAAGAAAAGAACAATTCAAAAGTTGACAAAATATGTGTCCCTCTTTTACCCCAGGATGTACTCCCTTTCCCAAAGGAACCATTTCCAGTTTTGTTTATCCTCGCAGCAATATTCCTTATCCGCCAGTTTCTTAGGTATATATCCAACAGCACCCCCTCTATTTTTGGGGGCAGCTGGCTGGTCTGGGGACCTGAACCCGTGACCTTGGTGTTATAACACTGCACTCTAACCAGCTAAGCTAACCAGCCCACCAAATCCCCTTTTAAACATATACTATTCACATTATTCTGTATCCTGACTTTTTCATAATAAAATCACAGAAATTTTTATAGTGCTTCCTATGTGTCAGGTACTGTTCTGAGCACTTTACATATACTCATTTAATGCTCATAACCTTATGAGATAGATATTAACTTTGAGATAAGTGGCTATGTTGGAATTTGATATCAGGCTCTTAAAAGAATGCCCCTCCATAAATGTGTGTGTGTGTGTGTGTGTGTATGTGTGTGTGTGTGTGTTTTGGAGATCATATCACTTCACCTACCTTGGAAATAAATTTTGATTATTTAAAATGTCTCAAATGTTGCATTTTAAAGTCACAATAAGGAAAAAAACTAGATAGAAAATTTTTTTTAAAAAACAAACGTACATTATGAACTGATTCTAGAGGAAGCATCCATAAAACTCTGAAATAAATCCTTTCTTTATTTAAGCATAGCCACCTTCAGTAATGGCAGTACCAAGCCATTGAACTGTACAGGGAAAGGGACTCTGACAGATTTTCCTACTTAAAAATTCAAATTTAAAAAAACTATTTTATATCTCCTTTTTACATTAGTGAACAATACACAAAGTGTAAGGGGTGGGAGCTGAAGTACAGTGCAGTGGAAAAAGTTTGCAAACACAGTATTTAAGGGACTGGAACATCTCACCCAGTTCAATTTTCTGTGGCAACAACCAAATAACAGTTCAGAGCATCACAACTCCAATCTCTTGGGACTTAAATCTTATCAATCTTCTAATTTAACAATTTACAATCTCATTTGATTTTTCTTTGATAGACCATACCTTCCTCAAAGGTAAATCAGTCATCTTAAAAAACCTTTTCAGCACTGAATGGGATGTCTTGCACAAAATACTCAAATATTTGACAAATTTAATGAAAGGTCTACCACCTACTTACTGCACAACACACAGAAACTCACAGGTTTCTTCTCTTAATATAACTACAGAAATTGGTATCTTTTATTCCCTTTTTAAGCTTCAGTGAATTACAAAGAATTGTCATTGATATCAATGAATAAATGGTCACAATAAAATATTTTTATTATTCTATTTATAAAACAGTATATGAAACACAAATTAGGTTAATTTGGAGTTAACTGCAAGCATTTTTCAAATCATTTTCATGAAAATAACAACACATTATTGAACCATAAAAGGAAATATATTTACCTAAATATTTATGTATATGTCTTACACACACTATATCTACATCAAGGACTATAGACAATTGAAAGGTGAAGCAATAGAAATGGACAGATGGTTGTAATTTATAATATACAGAATTTTAAACTGAAATGCAACTATCAAAAGAATTAAAACATAACTCATACATGAAAGTAATTTTTTTCATTTCCAATACTTTCAAATGGCAAAATTCATTTTGAAGTTAGACCTCTTTTAAGAACTATTTTGTGTTTAGCAATTCATTCCACATCCCATTTATGTGATGTGTAGTAGGTCATGCAAATATTAACCAGAAGTAAAGTGATATTTTAAAGGGACATGGTTTTCTAGACTTAAAAACACAGCTAAAGTAGCACTTTAGAGGTATCTACAGCACTTCAGTAAAGAAACTCAAATCATAATGACATGTAAGCCAATGGTGCTTTAACCCATAAGCTACAATTTCATCTACTAGACATGTTTCATTCTATCATATGAAAGAGGAATCACTTTATTGGCAGAAAATATTACTATATTTTATATATATATATATATATATATATATATACACACACACATGCACACACACACATATATATACACACACAATTTAAACTCACAAACAGAAGCACATGTCCTCCAAAACAAAATAATCCACAACCAAAAAAACAAAAGCACAAAAAGAAAAAGCTGACAAGTGTAACTAACTATTATATCCAGTTTTTCAGTGACATGTTTTTGGTTTTTTATGTTTTTTGCAACAGCAAACAATTAGGACAAATTTATGAAAAGAAACTTTACCATGAGAAAATACTATTAACTTAATGTTTCTGGTAAATTGAGAAAATACTATCGATTGATTTTTATCACAGAAAATGTAAATCCACTTCACAGGACATCAGCATGCCCAGGATGCACTGTGTGAGAACCACTAGGTTCACCCACTACAAGCAAATGATATGTTTTCATCACTCTTATAAACTGTACATCTTTCAGAAAATTTAAGTCTGTAATAAATAGTACGTTACACTCTCCTCTGAGAATATCTGCTTAACTAATTTACACTTTCAAATCTAAACCCCACCCAGTATCTAGTAGTGTAATATCTAATCAGTGAAACAACATACAGCACATTATTTGGTTTTTGAAGTCTCATTTTACCCCTCACATCCATTAGGATCATATATGTGACTAATAATTTGTCCAGTGTCACAAAGCTAAAGCAAAGACTTAGACTGTAATTTCATTCAATTTTTACTATAAAAGCAACATGTTCTTGTAAAAGATTCAAACCGTGCAAAAACAAAGACACTAAAAGTCCCCACCATGGATGGCTGTGCTGATTGCACAACAATGTGAATGTACTTAGTGCCACCAACTGTATACTTACAAATGGTTAAGGTGGCAAATTTTATGTTATATGTATTTTACCACAATTTAAAAAACAATGTGTATCAGATCATACAAAAAACAGTGTTTGTATAAAATTATGCCTGTGTACATGGGGGTTTGCATTCTATGTTACTACATGGACCTGTAATAACTAAGTTACTCAATTCGTGATTCATAGGCTTTAGGTAGTTTTTAGATTTTAACCATTACAAAAACAGAACACTGAACATCCACATTCCTTAATATATTAAGTGTACACAGTTCATGTTTCTTCACTGCAAGGTAACCTGACTTCTGTTTTTACCACTGTACTTGTGTTAAACAGGCCCATTCTCTCATTCTATGTTTTCTTAGTTAATATTTAAAAACTGGCCTCTTGAAATCCCAGGCATTCCACACAAACAACAAAGTTGGGCTCTTTGTAACCACCTACCATGGTTAATGGAGCTGTCACAAAAGTCAACTCACAATGTAAGTGTGAGGGGCTCTGGAATCCTTTAGAATGAGACAGAGGAAATAACTGCTTAGGGATAGTGATCTTTGTGACAAGGATGATACTATTTTCAACTGACTGGGGAAGACTTTCTCCTACCTACAAAAACCTGAGGTAAGGAACTTTCTCCCAACCCTGTCCAAGGTTCTTCTCTATCTAGCTACCGTGTTATGGGCACAGGTGACTCCTCTGTGTTCTCACAACTACAACATATCTTTCTACTCCAGTCTTCTCCCCATATGATCCCTTAACGATGGGTTCTGGATTTCACTCCCACCAATTTTCCTTGTTACTACAAAAGCTATGCAATCACATTTGAAAAACACATTCTTGACCTAAGTAAAAATATCTCAGCCTTGTAAAATCAGTAAATACAGTTTCCAATGGGTTTCGATATTTGCTAATTTTACTTGTGTCTGGCTTGCTAAACAGATTCCTTAAAAAGGATTGTTTCAATTCATTTTGAAGGTTGTTGTGTTTTTAATTTTCAGTATTTTAAAAGGACAATTAAAAACTCATTATCATTACCATCATTATAAACATCATAATTATCCTGGATATTTTTAAAGAATGTTTACGTGTCAACATTTTTGTCCCCATGAAAGATGAGAACGCCATCTCCTTCCATTATCTCCAGTTATAAAAACTAGAGCATAGAGAGATTAAAAGACTTCCTCAATGCCACTCACCTAGTATAGCAGCAAAACCTGGACTAGAACAGTCTTCTGACCCCTAGACTGTTCTTTTCTTTAAACCACATTTCATTAAAAGCCATGTAATTATAAGTGTACCCAATTACAAAGAAATCACTTAAAATTCTGAAAATAAAAAAGCATCTTTTAAGTAGTTTATAATTATTTGTACTACGTTTGAGAAGCAATGATAAACAGTCCAAAAATCATTCAGCACCACACTCAAACACTTCCTTATCATGTCCCCACTGCACTGTCCTTGTACCAAGCCCATTATCTTCTGGATATAGGGAGGGATACAAGTGGTTATGGTCATCAATGAGAAAACTGGGCAGAAGAAAGCAACTATGGGATATAATTAGCCCATGGAGAATATTCACAAATCATAGGGAGTTAAATGCATCCTTTTGATTAAAGGCCTACAACAGCATAGGCTTTGCTGATTGACTGAAAGCTCAGTGGCCACAAAAACAACAGAATACCAAGATGTTGAAAACACAGCTTTTGAGATAAATCATTTTAAAATCTAGAAAGAATAAGGCTCATTGAAACTGAATGGTTTATACAGTATAAATCATGGTAATTTAAGACAAACATTTAAATCAGCCCAAGTTATGTCTTGTTTGTACACATGCATGAACACACACACATATCCAGACAAATGGAAACTTCCTCTTTTTGGGTGGAGGTTTGGAACCTCAGACCAACCACATAGCACCTTCTATGAGATACGGTGCTGTCTGTGCAAACAACTAATCAGAATTCACCAAAGAATTCACGTTAGTGTGTGTGTTCCTTGCTCAGCTACAGCATGGTGGTGGGAGTAGCCAGCAGTAGGAAGCGGCAACAGCCCCTTTTAATCAGTATGCAGAAACAGTAGTTGG